CCGAGACCAGGACATTTTAGTTGCAGAGTTGTGGTGGAGGGACATTCGTTCCTCTCAGGTGATGTCAGCCTGCTTCATCCGTAAAATTTAAACCCACTGCTGCTTTCACAAAAATCATCTCTTCTCGAAAGTAAAAACTCTGACAGAATGAAGTCAGAAATGACAGTTTGGGGGACGAGGGGGTGGTTTCGATCTGAGATGATTTCAGTGATCTGAATGGTGCCACAGCTCGTGTGTGAGACCCTGGCTCTGAGTTGAGGGTGCTTGCAACATACTTTTAAACCCCTGGACGTGTGTGCTAGAGATTTTATTCGCAACTTTCATGGCAGTTCAATGTAAAAGAACACACCTTTATGAGGGGAGCTAAGAGGGCCCCCGGGGAAACAAGTTAGTCCGTTGGATGGTATCACATTTAAGTTACACTAAACAGAACCACGCGTGCCTTCCAGAAACCTCCCAGCCTTCCTCACTCAGCCTTGAAATCAGAACTCCTCCTTCAGGTTGTCTGCATTACGCTGTGTTTTGATTTGCTTTTCTAACTGGAAACAAGAAGAGGTCTGAGGGGCTGTGGTTGTGGTGCGGGGGGGCGGGATCCATACCCTAGGGCGTTTTTTCCACGATGGTCTGGCTTGCCCAATCTTCCTTTTCACCTTTCTGCCTGCCCTCAGAGTATTGATCTACAAGATTCAGGGGTCTCCAGCATTTGCAGAGGTTACCTGCTGGCCTTAGAAGAGTTCTGAAAAGTTTGGTGTCAATTAAATTTTTTTTTTGAGTGTGCTGGCTAAGATGCTGGCCATTTAAAGTAGGAATGAGTGAATTATTGGACCAAAAGGAAGCTTATAGTTGCATGTGTTAGTGTATATCATCTGTGGTCTGCATGAGATTTTGCAAAATTGGGATTCTTGGAAGAAGAGCACATGGTAGGCAGCCTTAGGCCGATTGAACAGGATTTGGGAAGTCTTCTTTCACAAGAATGTTTTCCAGGGGGGTCTGAGATGGTTTTGTGATAGAGCACGAACATCCTTCCTGCTGCAAGGTCCTCAGCCCTGGGAGCTCAGAGGGGAAGACCTGCACAGACCCCTGTGTTCATTGGGAAACTCCCCCGTCTCTGTGTCACTATGTGAAAGAGGTGACTGTCACAGATGAAGAGTCGTACAAATTAGTCTAATCTTTGCATTAAATTTGGCACAAATTTGCTTCTCCACCTAGGAATGGCACTGCATAATTCTGAGTTCTCTGTATTTTAAGGTGAGCCTTGAAGGCCGCCCCCCCGCCCCTCCGCCGTGCAAAAAAAAGTCAGCAGGAGGTGGAGAGACCCGTAGACTGAGGCCTGCAAATAGGGACTGATGAGCAGCAAAACTCTGGTGAAACCGCCCAGTCCTGGGTGAAGCAAAGCCCCCTCTCAGAGCTTTAAAACAACCTCAAGGCATGAATCATTATATTACCAAGGCTGGCTGGCTTGAGAGGAACTGAAAAAATGAAAATACTCACGTTGCTCATTAGCAAAGAGGAATACGCAAATGTTGAGGGTCCCGTTGTGTCAGAGTCCCTCTGCTATTTGGGTTTGGCAAGCAGAGCACTCCTCTTGCACACACCTTCATCTTCGTGCCAGATTCTCTTCTCGCCCTTGTGCCTTTTCTGAGGAGTTTGCCAGAGTGGAATGAGGGGCTTGAGAAAACAGAGCGTGTTTCACACTGACCCTTTTAACCGGTGTTAGATCATTTTTGTGATTTAATGCTTGTTATAGACTCACATTTTCTTCCTTTTTTTCTTTTAAGATTTTATTTTATTTTTTTGAGGGAGAGAGAGAGTAGAGAGAGAGAATGAGCAGGGTGAGGGACAGAGGGAGAAGCAGACTCCCCGCTGAGGAGGGAGCCAGACGTGGGGCTCGATCCTGGGACCTGGAATCCTGACCTGAGCTGAAGGCAGACGCTTAAGCGGCTGAGCTACCCAGGCGCCCCTGGACTCACTTCTTCTACAGCAGGTTTCTCCATGACAGCACAAGAGTCTGGGCCACATTTGAAACCAGATGGTTCTTTGTTGTGGAGGCTATCCTGTACATTGTGGGGTGTTCAGTGGTACCCCGGCCTCTACCCACTAAATGCCTGCAGCAGCCTCCCATCGTGGTGACAACCAAACTAGACATTGCCGAGTGTCCCATAGGACACAAAATCTCTCTCTCTCTCTCTCTCTCTGTCTCTCTCTCACACACACACAGCCTTGGTTCACTGTTCTACAGGAAAGAAGCAGTAAAAAAATCATCTTTGTCCTAAATTAGTTGTACTTTTAAAATATAGATCCTAAGGTTTTCCATCATTTAACACCTGTGTGTTAGTGGTTTATTCCCTATGTGGGGTAAATAAGACTTTATTCTTTTTGAGTGGCCGTCACAAAAACTCAGAATCTTCTCTCTCCTCTTCCGATCTGCTCTCCCGTGGGATTCATATGTTGCTAATAATTTACCAGACCTGTTAATTCATTAATAGGTCATTAATTTATTAATCCTGCACGTTCATTCATTTGCAACAGTATACTTGGTGAGCTCTCACCACATGCCCAGTGGTGAGCAAGCGCCGCCTTGAATAACCAGGATTCCTTTCTGTTTCATAACAAATCTACCTTCCTCGGCTTGTCTATGAGGAGGGCTTACATTCTTGGAAAGCAAAACTGCATCTGACATGGAGGAACAGGTCCTTGGAGTCAGACAGACTTGAGTTTTTGAATCCCACCTCCCACTGCTTATGAGCTGGGTAGCCTTGGAGCCATTATTGAACCAGTGGACCTCAGTTTCCCAGTGTGAACATGGGGGTGATGCCCTCTCCATGGCAGATTTCTGTGAGGCCTCAAGGAGATCATGTACATCAGGCATCAGTAAATGCTACCTTACCGTCTGGCCGCCAGCCAGTAAGTCGTGACATAGGAGCCGCCATCTTTGTGGGTCCAAAACGGCCAAATAGTGGCAACTTCCTCCAGTTCAACCTAATAGGTAAATAAATGGAATGATTCTGCTTGGTTATTTTCCCGCGTTCCCGCCCTCTCTCTGAGGAGGCATCCCACTGGCATAACAGAACGCACTTCAGAGGATAAGCCCACTCGGCTGCAGCGACAGCTCGCGTGTGTCTTAAAAGCTTGCGCTCTGGGAACTGGCACTTTCCCAGCCTTGCAGCCAGTTTGTGAGGAGATCACCGGAATTGCAGCAATTTCTCCATGTGCTCCGGTTGTTTGTTCCCTGGGTGTCCGTCATGGGCTGGCCTGTGTCTGACGCGTCTGTATTTCTTTTCCAGGTCACGCTGCTGATCGCCTTCATCTGCGTGAGGAGTTCTGTGTGGGTCAGCTACAGCGCCTACAGCTACTTTGAAGTGGTCACCATTTGCAACTTGATAATGATCCTCGCCTTTTATCTGGTGCACCTCTTCCGCCTCTACCGCTTGCTCACCTGCATCAGCTGGCCGCTGTCGGTAAGGGGGTGGCCCGGGGCCCTGAGACCCGACAGACTCTGTCCCATCTGCCCCTCCCCCACAGCCCCCCCTCCTCCATCACCTCTTCCTGCTGCAGCCCTGAACTTCTCACTGTCTGGTGGGCATCTCAGCCCATGTCCCGCTGGTTTCTAAAGCTCACCTTCCAGGGGCGCCTGGGGGGCTCAGTTGGTTAAGCGTCTGCCTTCGGCTCAGGTCATGAGTCCAGGGTCCTGGGATCAAGCCCTGCGTAGGGCTCCCTGCTCAGTGGGGGGCCTGCTTCTCCCTCTCCCTCTGCTGCTCCCCTTGCCTGTGCTCTCCTGCTCTCTCTCTGTCAAACAAATAAATAAAATCTTTAAAAAAAACCAAAAAACAACTCACCTTCCAGCAACAAGAAAGCTGTGTGTGTGTTTTCTCAAGGGACAGAAAAGGGTAGGAAGAGGAAGCTGATAAAGGCGATGGGTGTTTATACTGTTGTGATAAGATTTGTCAGCTAAAAGGGACTGGCAGAGTCTGAGGAAAGATTCCAGAAGTTTCCAGGATTTTTTTTCTTCCCGCTATATTATTATTTAAATAGCTTGATTGACATACAGTTCACATGCCATACAATTGCCCACTTAAAGTGTACAATTCAACAGAGTTTACCATAGTCCCAGAGTTGTGCAAGCATCACCACAGTCGATTTTAGAACATTTTCCTCGCCTCAAAAATAAACCCCATCCCCTTTCGCTATCACCTCCCACCTCTCACCCTCTCCAGCCTGAAAGCAACCGTGAATCTACTTGCTGTCTTGTGAATTTTCCTATTCTAGACATGTCCTGTAGGTGGAATCATATGTGTGGTCTTCTGTGACTGGCTTCTTTCACTTAGCAAAGTGTTTTCATGGTTTATCTATGTCGTAGCATGGGTCAGTACTTCATTTTTTTAATAGCCACGTCCATTGAAAGGATAGACCACGTCTTGTTTATTTGCTTATTGGATGGACATTTGGGTTGTTTCCACCTTTTGGGTATTATGAAACGTTATGAATAATGCTGCTATGAACACTCGTGTACAAGTTTTTGGTATGGACATGTTTTCATCTTGCTTGGGGATATACCTGAGAGTGGAATTGTGGGGTCCCATGGTAACTATGTCTCATTGTTTGAAGCACGGCCAGACTTTATTCCACACTGGCTCCCCAGTTGACATTTCCATCGGCAGTGTATGAGGGTTCCAGGGTCTCCATAGCCTTCTCAACACTCATTATTTTCTGACTTTCTGATTTCAGTCATGATAGTGACTGTGGAGTGGTATCTCATGGTTTTGATTTGCATTTCTCTGATGACTATTGATGTCAGTCATCTTTTGATGAGCTTTTTGGCCATTCGAGTATTTTCTTCAGAGAAAAGTCTGTACAGATCCTTTGCCCATTTTTGGATTAGGTTGTTGTTTTATTACTCAATTCTCAGAGTCCTTTGTATATTTTAGTTACAAGTGCCTTACCAGATAAATGATTGGCAGATATTTTCTCCCATTCTTTTGGTTGGTTTTCATTTCCTTGATAGTGTCCATTAAAGCACAAGTTTTTAATTTCAATGAGATCTAATTTAATTACTTTTCTTTTTTTGGTATAAAAAAATGTTTGTGTTTTGGTATAAAATCTAAAAGGCATTGCCAAATCCAAGATCATGAAGGTTTGCCTCTATGTTTTCTTCTAAGGAGTTTCATACTTCTAGCTCTTACATTTAGGTACTTGGTCTATTTTGAATTAATTTTTGTGTCTAGTGTGAGTTAAGGATTCAACTTCATTCTTTTGCAGATAAATATCCAGTTGTCCCAGCACCATCTGTTGGGAAGACCATTCTTTCCCCCATTGAATTGTCTTGTCATCCTTACTGAAAATTAGTTGACCATAAACTCATGGATTTACATCTGGACTCTCAATTGCATTGATCTTACCCCACTGTCTTGATTGCTGTAGATATTTAACCAGTTTTGAAATTAGGAATTATGAATCTTCCCATTTTTTTCAGGATTGTTTTGGATTTTTGCAATTTCATACAAATTTTAGAATCAGCTTTTTAGTTTCTACGAAGCAGTCAGCTGGGATTCTAATACAAACCATTGAATCTATAGATCGATTTGGAGAATATTGCCATCTTAACAATATTAAATCTTGTGACCTAAGAACATGGAAGGTTTTCCCATTTATTTAGATCTTTAATTTCTTTCAACAGTGCTTTGTAGTTTTCAGAGGGTAAGCTTTGTGCTTTTTGGAGGGGGGAGCTTAAATTTGTTCCTAGGTATCTTACTCTTTTTGATGACATTCCAAATGTAATTATTTTCTTAATTTCATTTTGGGATTGTTCATTGCAAGTGGATAGAAATACAAGAGATTTTTGTATATTGATCTTGTGTCCTTAACCTTGCTGAACTCATTTTAGATCTGACAGATCGTTAATGGGTTCCTTAGGATTTTCTATACAAGATTATGCCATCTATGAATAGAGATAGTTTTATATTCCCCTCCAATCTGAATGCCTTTTATTTCATTTTCTTGTCTCACTGCAAGAAATTAGTTGAATATTGAAGTGGCAAGACCACACATCATTATCTTGTTCCTGATCTTAGGAGGAAAGCATTCTGTCTTTCATCATTAAATATGATGTTATGGAGTTAACTTCCAGTCCTACTTTGTTGAGTGTTTTAATCATGAAAAGGTATTAGATTTTGTCAAATGCTTTTTCTTTGTTGAGATAATCATGTTTGTTTTCCCCCTTAATATTTTGTTAATATGGTGTGTCACATTGATTTTCATATGTGAAACTAACATTTGCATCCCTGGGATAATTTATGATATATAATTCAGCTTATGTGTAGCTGGATTTGGTTTGCTAATATATTGTTGAGGATTTTCATATTTGTATTCATAAGAGATATTGGTCTGTAGTTTTCTTGTGATGTCTTTGTCTGGTTTTGTTATCAGGGTAATACTGGTCTCAGAGTAATTTGGGAAGTGTTACCACCTCTTATATTTTTTAGAAGAGTTTGTGAAGAATTGGTATTAATTCTTCTTTAAATGTTTGGTAGAATTTTGCAACAAAGGCATCTGAGCCTGGGTTTTTCTTGTGGGTAATTTATTATTATTATTAGTTCAAACTTGACTTGTTGTAGATCTGTTCAGATTGTTTATTTCTGCCCGAGTCATTTTCAGTGGTGTGTCTTTAGAGGAATATGTCTATTTCATCTAAGTTTTCTAATTTACTGGTATATAATTGTTCATAGTATTCCCTTAAAATCCTTTTACCTCTGTAAGATCCATAGTGATGTCCCCTCTTCCATTTCTAATTCTGGTCATTTGAATCTCGTCACCTTTTCTCTCTCTTTCTTTTCTTGATCAGTCTAGCTAAAGGTTTGGCTATTTTGTTGATCTTTTCAAAGAACCAGTGTCGGTGTCACTAATTTTCCCTATTGTTCTTCTGTTCCCTATGTCATAATTTCTGCTTCAGTCTTTTTTTCCTTCTTTCTCCTTGCTTTAGGTTTAGTTTGTTCTTTTTCCAGTGTCTTAAGGTGAAGATTAGGTTATTAATTTAAAAACTTTCTTCCTTTTTAATGTAGGTATGTATAGCTATAAATTTCTTTCTGAGCACTGCTTTAGTTGCATCCCATAGTTTTAGTATATTGTATCATCATCTTCATTCATCTCCAGGTACTTTCTAATTTCCCTTGTGATTTTGCATTTGATTGACCCAGTAGTTAGGAATGTGTTAATGTCTACATATTTGTGGGTTTCCCAAAATTCTTTCTGCTATTGCTTTCTAATTTCATTCTGTTGTATTTGAAGAACATACTTCATATGATTTCAATCCTTCACATTTATTGAGGTTTGTTTTATGGCTTACCATATAGTGTCTCCTGGAGAATATTTTATGTGCATTTGAGAAGAATGTATATTCTGTTGTTGGGTAGAGTGTTTTATAGATGTCTGTTAGGTCTAGTTGTCTTATAGCATTGAGTCTTTATTTTCTTGTTGGTCTTCTCCCTAGTTGTTCTACACATTATTGAAAGTGAGGTATTGAAGTCTCCAACTATTATTTTTGAATTACCTATTTCTCCCTTTATCTCATTAAGTTTTTGCTTCATGTATTTTGTTGCTTTGTTATTAGGTGCATACGTGTTTGTAATTGTTCTGTCTTCCTGATAGATTGCCGTTTTTGTCATTGTAAAATGTCCCTCTTTATCTCTGGTAACATTTCTCTTTTAAAATCCATTTTGCCTGATACTAGTATAACCACTCCAGCTTTCTTTTGGTTGCTGTTTGAATGACCTATCTTTTCCTTCTTTCTGCTTTCAGTCTATCTGTATCTTTGAGTATAAAGTGTTTCTCCAGGGCGCCTGGGTGGCTCAGTTGGTTAAGCGACTGCCTTCGGCTCAGGTCATGATCCTGGAGTCCCAGGATCGAGTCCTGCATCGGGCTCCCTGCTCGGCGGGGAGCCTGCTTCTCCCTCTGACCCTCCCCCTTCTCATGCTCTCTCTCTCTATCTCATTCTCTCTCTCAAATAAATAAGTAAAATATTAAAAAAAAAAAAGTGTTTTTCCAATAGACAGCATATAGTTGGATTTTCTTTTTCTTTAAGTAGGCTCCACGCCCAGCGTGGATCCCAACATGGGGCTTCAACTCACGACTCTGAGATCAAGACCCGAGCTGAGACGCTTAACCCAACTGAGCCTCCTGGATACCCCTGTATCTTTTTTTTTTTTTATCCAGTCTGACAACCTCTGGATTGTTTAATTATTCACATTTAATGTTATTACCTGCTGTGTTATTTTGAGAGACATTTCTTTTGTGTTCCTAAGTTACAAGGCCCCTTTCAAAGTTATGGCACCTTTCTGCTTCTTTTGAGAGCAAAGTCCTCTGGTAATGATGCTGATACTGAAACACTCTGAGGAGAGAGAAAGGCTGGGGGCAGGGATGGGGGTGGGTGGAGAGGGGAGTGCATGTTGGAGGGGTAAGCTCAGCCCCACATTTTTGATGAGGTATATTGAGGCACTTTCCATTTAGGACTCTCTCAAATCAGTTTTCTCTACCCCACGTCCTATTCCTCTTTCTTCATGGGTGAGAATCTTGGAGGTAGGGAACTTCAGTTACTAATCTGCTCTTCAGTCAATATCTCTGCGGTCCACCTTCTGATTTTCCTTTCTAGTCGCTAAAGGAGAAATTGGGGTCTTTGATTTCACACAGCTTTCAGAGGAGCTGCAGCTTAAAAGTGGAATGCTTTTCCAAAATTTAATAGGTGCCTGCCTTGATGGGCAGAACTTCACAGCGGATTAATTTCTGAATCCTCATGGAAGACAACTAAAAATGAATACACTCTGGATCCAGAGGGAGTCCTCTGGTGGCCCTAAGCCCCAGTTCTCTTCTGATCTGGTGTTTAATGGGGAGGAAGAAGGAAGAAGGTGGAAGCCTTACCCTGCTGCTGAATGACAGAGGTTCAGCCTCATTCAGGGCCTGCAGAGAGGGCATTTTAAGCCCGGAGGGTGAATGGGGTGCAGATGGATGGAAGCAGAGGTGGAATCTGCCCTGCTAGCAAACTCCTCAGCAGTGTGGCCTGAGGGCACACTCCCAGAGAGCAGAGAGAAGATGAAAGGAGGACAAAGTGAGGAGGCTTATTAGGAGCCAGAAAGTCAGCTCCTCCCACCCCCACAAGCACTTCACAGAGGGCCTCTGACCTCACCCTGGGCTGTGACTCCAGGTCTGAGGGGGTCAGCACCTCCAGACTGCACCTAAAACTGTTCACAGAGTGGGCAGGCACTCCAGGCAACCACCAAAGCTAGCACGTTGTTAGCCCAGAACTTTCTCTGAAGCAGAAGTGAGAGGTACACATCTCTTGAAGGGGCTCTGCTTCTCAGAGCTGGAGCTTCCTTTAAACTCTCCAGCCTGGGAGTTGTGGGAAGCTGTTGGCCCGAGGTCGGGGTGCTGTCTACAGATTGCTCTCAGGAGTGGAGCAGTCCTTAGTGGGTATCTCTCCTCACCCGACAAGTGTCCTTTCTCTCTGTCACCTCTCTGGCTGCCTGCCCGGCTCCTTTTCTGTCTTGCAGGGTCTCATCCTGGCCGGCCTTCTGCAGCTGCTGCCTGTGAGCAAACTGCTCTGTCAGGAGGTCATGAGGAGAAGAGGAGATGTCACTGCCTCCCCTCTGTTCCTCTCTTCTGTGCCCAGTTGCCTCTGAGAACCAGGAGTGGACCTCCCGACCCACAGCTTTGCTTTGTTTTTGTCCCCAGGAACTTCTGCACTATTTAATCGGTACCCTGCTCCTCCTAATCGCCTCCATTGTGGCAGCCTCCAAGAGTTACAGCCAGAGCGGACTGGTAGCTGGAGCGGTGAGGACACTCTCGGGGGAACCTTCACGAATGAGTTCACTTCTAGCGCATTTTCTTCCTGATGGGCAGCGAGGAGATTGTTTCCTGGGGCCTTTCTTTCCCAGAAAAGTACCCATCAGAACCCACCTGGATCCAGCTAACAGCAGCCTCCAAAGAGCCGGGTCCACAACAGAGGGCCTCAGCAGGTGGATGGTCGGGGTTCCTGGCACACTCAGATGGCCCCAGCGGCCCAGCCCTCCCTCAGACAGCCACTCCTTACATCAGGGGGCCAGTCGGTCTTAATGCACATGCCCGTTCGGGTCATTCATTGGTGGCTGCCTCAGGCTATGCAAAGATCCTGAGGCCTCTTTGGGGCCCAGAAAAAGAGCATGTGATCAGTTAGTGATCCCTGCCATGAATGGTAGCTCTGCTGGTCCTGATTTATAGCAGTTTTCAGGCCGGGAAACAACGCTCCTAGACCTTGCAAAGGTGAAAATTAATCCATCTGATAGCCTGAATAGAAGGATGGAAGTGTATAAAAATATAGTGCTGTGGGAGCTGTGTTTACCACACATATGCAAATATATATACATGGGTGTGTTCATGTATATGTATTTATTTTTAAAAGACATAGATTCCTGCCATCTGATTTCTGATTTAGCTAATTGGTTACAGAAGTTTTTTTCCTGATTTCTGATGTAGCTAATTGGTTACTTCTGGCTATGACACTGATTTGCCTCACTGATGAGCAGATGAAATTTTTTGAATGAGGGTTTTTCTTTTGTTTTTGTTTTTTTTTTAGTGAGAGGGAGAGAGAGCAGGTGGGTGCGAGGGCAAGGTAGGGGCAGAGGGAGAGAGAGAGAATCTTAAGTGGGCTCCGTGTCGGCACGGGGCTCCATCTAACAACCCTGAGATCATGACCTGAGCCAAAATCAAGAATCAGACGCTTAATTGACTGAGCCACCCAGGCACCTCAATTTTTTAAATGAGTTTGAAGAAAAGCTCTATGAGATAGGCACTCTTTCATTTATATGTTAGCAAAATTCTCCAGACTTTGGGCTGGGAGTGGGTTAATGCCTGGAATTCCACCGAGGGGTGGGGTCTGTCCTAAAGATGGGCACGGCGTAGCCAAGCCTTTGAATACTCATGAGCTTAAGTGCCTCCCTCTGCGGTTCCCAAGGAGAGGGGTGGGCACCACCTACAGCTTACCACCTGCCTGACTACAGACAGGCTGGTGAGGGAGATAGAGGAAACTGGTGCCCATTGTGTTTCGGGACCACATGGAGAGGTTCCCCCTGGGTTTTACGATTCAGGTTGCACATAACCATGTTTGTTAGCCCCAGAATCCCAATAAGCCCCATTTATCATACACCAGCTTGGTGCCTAGGACCAAGCCTCGGCCATGGGGGAGCCAGAGGAAACAAAAAGATACAGTCCTTGCTTATGAGAAAATGGTCATCCAGTTTAGGAGTCAAGGCCGAGGCCCATGAAACAATCAGCAAACAAGGCATTGTCATCCAGAAGAGCACCACGTAGCAGTATAATAAACTGTTCAATTATGCAGTGCAGACAGTAGGAGACCGGGATGGTATCTAATGTGCTAATTGTGCAGAACAGACAATGAGGGGCCAGGACAGGCTCCAATAGGCTAATTATGTGGTACAGACAATCGGTGCAAAGGGAGCCAAGGAAAGGGACCTGGGGGAGGGGAAGCCGGGTGTGGGCCTGTGGGGGCAGCCTCTTCTGTGAACCAGCAGCCAGGCTTGAAAAGCAAACCAAACCCTTGGAGACCGTGCCCTTGGTCTGGCTGCTCCCGGGCTGTGCCTACTGCACGTCAGCCCGTGGTTGTGGCCACGTCGCCAACCGGAGGCCATTTGCAAGTCCGGGAACATCTGGGCAAAAATCGAGCAGGGCTCTGGAGCCAGATTCCTAGGGCTCACATCCCATGTCCGGCCCTTGCTGGCTCGTGGCCCTGGGCAAACTAGTTGACTTGCCGTCCCTCCATGTCTTTAGCTGCCAGATGAGGGAGATGGGAGGTAAGAGCAGCACCCACCTGGCAGAGGGGTGGGACTTGAAGGGACCAGCACACCTAATGGGCTTAGAACCCGGGCGGGCACAGAGTCGGTGGTCAGTAAGTCATAGCTCCTACGTTGCTGTTCACAGGTCAGGAACTGACTGCAGGCTTCCAAGTGCCAGACAGACACCAGAGTGTGTGCCTGCTTCTCTCTGGACCATCGGATGAGCCCCACCCGAGGCCCTTTTCCTCCCTGGCCGCCCTGCTCCTCATCTTTAAGTGAAGCTGGATGGGGCTGGGTCAGCTTTCCTAGGTCAGCGAGGTCAGCCACTTGAGCACTGGGTAGATCCTCAGAAAGGGAAGGAGCGCTGCCTTCACTGATTTTAGTCTAAGATTGTTGAAATATGTGCAAACGTAAAACTGTATATCAAGGCCTCAACTTCTGGCTATGACACAGCTATAAAGTGAGACAGAACAGAAAGCCATTAAGAGTGACATGCAATGCTGCCCCATCCAGTAAAATCCATTTGAATGTTAGAAATTTAAAAACCCCTACTGAAATGTACAGTTCCACCTTTTTCTCTTTCATTAGCCCAGATAATTGTCTTTTACAGCGCCTTGGCCTCAGCTCAGTTGTAAATACGAACCCGAACATGGGCCCTGAAGTTGCCTGGAGTGAGGAGGGCCAGGAGGTGGAGCCCAGAGCCTGAGGGCCAGGCCTGAGCTAGGGCCCTGCACCTGAGCAAGGACCAGGTGGTCAGGTCACTCGGTTCCCCCAGGCTCCCCCTGGGCCACAGCTGGTACAGGGATGAGAAACATAAAGGACAGCCTGAGTGATTGGCCCTTGGCCTGGGAACCTCCTTTCTTCTCTGTCCTGTGCAGATCTTCGGTTTCGTGGCCACCTTCCTCTGCCTGGCGAGCATCTGGATGTCCTACAAGATCTCGTGTGTGACCCAGTCAGGAGGTGAGTTCCAGTTGTCCAAACACAGGCAATCTCTGAAAGTTCCCTCTGCTGGGGAACAGGAGGACGGCCTGTTGTGGAGTTCAGCAACAGGGAAGGGCCCCACTGCAGGGGAGGCCTTGAGGGGTAGGGGCCCAGGTGGAAAGGCGGAACCCAAGGCCCTCTGCTCTCGTCCTGTTTCCATAGCCCGGGGCATCCTCACGTGTCTACCTCTGATGCTGAAGCCTTTTCTTTAAATTTATTTCCTAATGATAAAAATGAAGTGTAGAGAATTTAGAAAGTGCACATAAAGAAAAAGAAAAAATTTTTCATGCAAACCATCTGTCATCACATTACCCAGAAATAGCACCTGCTGGGTGTCTGTCCTTCCAGTATTTCCTCTCTCTGGATGGATGGATGAACAGATAAAAAGATACATAGATCTATTTGTTGCTTTTATTAAAGGATCTGACTTTATGTGTTATTTGTAACCTGCTCTTGTTCTTCTATTTAACCACCAATCAGGCATTTTCCCCACATGGTTGGGGATTCTTCTCCAACATGTTTTTTTTTTTTTTAAAGAATTTATTTATGCATTCATTCATTCATTCATTCATTTTTAGGATTTTATTTTTAAGTAGTCTCTACACCCACCGTGGGGCTCGAACTCACACTCCCCACTGACTGAGCCAGGCGGGTCCCCTCTCCTCCCTCACTTTTAATGGCTCCATGCCTTGGGTGCAGTTCACTGCAGTTCCACTGCACGTGTGTGTCATAGTTTACTTGTCTCCTATTTGGGGTCATTATGTTTTGTTTCTTTAATTCTTTGCTACTAAACAGTGTTGTAAAGAGCATCCTTATAAATACAGCCCCACACTCATCCCTAATACCATTTCTCTTTAGAATGCCTTCCTAGAAGTAACACTGCTAAGAGCTATTTTGATTAGTCCACTTCTCTACTCCAGCCCTTCCTCTCTTTGTTCTTCTACACCACAAAATATCAGAGCACGCACGGCCTGTGGGCTGAGCTGCCCCGCAGAAGGGTTGTTTCATCAGAGCTTCCATTTCCTTCCAGAAGCTACTGATGCTGAGGGCAGGGAGCCAGTCACAAAAGACCACAGACTGTAGGATCCCATTGATGGGAAATGTGTTGAATGGGCTCATCCCAAGAGGCAGAAAGAAGATGGTGGGGGGCGGGGGGTGGGTGTTGCCAGGGGCTGGGGGATGGGATGGCAGATGGGCCCTCTTTTGGAAGTGATGAAAGATTCTCACATTGTGGTGGTCAGTGCTTGAGCCATCCTGTGAATATTTGAAAACCTTGGAAGTGTACACTTCAGACGGATTTAGTGGATTGTATGGTACGTGGAGTCTATGTCGGCCAAGCTGTTTAAAGAAAAAAAAGAATGGGGCGCCTGGGTGGCTCAGTTGGTTAAGCGACTGCCTTCGGCTCAGGTCATGATCCTGGAGTCCTGGGATCGAGTCCCGCATCGGGCTCCCTGCTCGGCGGGGAGTCTGCTTCTCCCTCTGACCCTCCTCCCTCTCATGTGCTCTCTTTCTCATTCTCTCTCTCTCAAATAAATAAATAAATAATCTTTAAAAAAAAAAAACAAAAGAAAAAAAAGAATGAATGATGAAAAGTAGAGAATGTGAAAGAGAGTTACTAGGTAACAGCTAAAGGTGATACATGTGTAAATATTGGCAGAAACATAGGCTTAAAATTCAGGAAGGAAGAGCCAAAAGAAAGAGCTAAGACACTTCAAGTCCCTCTGAGGATGGGCTGGGGGTTGCGGCGAGGTGGGGAGCAGCGATATCCTCTCCTCCCCGCACTACTGAATTTTTTTCTCTTTGAGAAGTGTATTTAGAAAGGCTAAGATCATTCCAAGGGCGGTGGGTGCTGGGTGGAGGAAGGAGGAAGTGCACTGAGCCGAACCGGGTCAGCCCCCTGCTGTGTGACTTCTGCGTGGGCCCTGCCCTGCCAGCCGGCCTAACTTTGCCATTTCCTTCTCAAGATGCAGCTGTGTGATGCCAGCCCAGGCCCGGCCCCGTGGGAGGCCCTGCGCACAGGAGGGTCAGTGGGCCAGCCCCCACGAAGGGCTTCTGACCCCATGATCTTGTGCCAAAGCCCCGTCCACGCGGGTGGGCACAGGAGGGGGACTTCGGCGTCCTCCAGGGCTCCTGAGCCGCGCAGAGCCTCTCTTTCCAGTCGTCCTTGGAGAATAGTCCTCCCCGCCCGGGAAAGAAAACCAGCCTCCAGGGAAATCTGGTCTCTCCCTCCTGCTTTGAGAACCACCTGCCTCAGGGACTGATGACCCCACTTAACCCACGAGGGAGGGGTTTCTGAAAACTCCTGCCTAACTCTGCTTCTACTTCACATTCCTCAGGGGAGTGAAGCCGCCTTAAGTCCTCTTAGAGAAACCAAGCCATCTCCTAATTTATCCAGCTTGGAAAGCCTCTCTCTGGAGAGAGCCTCTTCCTTAAGTGAGGCGTGTCTGCAGAAGCACTCTGTGGTCAGCCTGTCCCCAGAGAGGAGATCCCGGCTCCTTTCAGGCTTCAGCCTTAATTCCCATTGTGTGTGTGTCTGTGTGTTTGTGTGTGTGTTGTATGTGTGTGTCGGTGTGTGGGCGTGTGTGTGTTTTGTAATAAAATATTGACTTGGCCAATTGCACAAGGATTTCTTATTAACTGAGGCTGTCGACCAGGAGTAAAGTGATGGGGCCCACAAAGCTCGTGGGGATGCCTGGGGGCCCACTCCTGCATGTGCACACCAGCCCCTCCCCGGAGCTGAGAACACCGAAGGATGCAGAAGATACGGGCCGCTCAAGATTTGCATATTTTCAGAGTAAATCGGTGGTGAAGGGTGGCCAATACCGTTCACACAGGACAGAAAGCAGTACTCAAGAGCGACACAGGCAGCCCTAAAAAAAAGGGGGTAGAAAATTCTGGTACCTACTACAACACAGATGAAGCTCGAAGACATGACGCTGAGTGAAATAAGCCGGACACCCCAGGACAAGCCCTGTCTGATTCCATTTGCAGGAGGTTACTAGAGAAGTTACAATTCAGAGACAGAAAGTCGAAGGGTGGTGGCCGGGGCCTGGGGCAGGGGACTGGGGCGTTTGTGTGTCCACTTGGGAAGATGGAGATGTTCTGGAGATGGATGGCGGTGGCTGCCCAACAACATGAATAATACCACTGCACGGCGCACCTAAAAATTGTTAGATTGGTACGTTTTATGTTCTGTATCTTTTACCGCAATTTTTTAAAAAAGCAATACAAGACATTCTGTCTAGGCACCTCCACAGCTGGAAGAGCCACTTGGGGCGCGGGGGAAGACAGAGACCCAGGTCGCACCCAGCCCAAGGCCGGCAGCATGGCCAGCACCATGTTCTAGCGGGTGCTCGAGAATCCAGGCTGTGGGACGCGGGCGTCTTCCCTAAACCAGGCCCTCCCTGGGACTGCTCAGCCCAGGGGCCATACCCCCGTGTAACCCAAACTCCAAACCCAGCTCCCCGGCTCCCAGCACCGGGAGGTGACCCACGGGGGCAGGCGCGGCCAGGCTGAACCAAGTAAAGAGAGGAGGGAAGACTGGACCTGGAGGGAGGACAAGGCGTCAGGGGCCAACCTGAGCCCCCAGGAGGGGGCACTGGGAGACCAGGCCAAAGCTGGTCTGCCCACATCCTCCCCCACAGTCAGCCAGCTCCCTGGCGGGCAGAGCCTCCCTGGGGAGGGAGGGAAGATGGAGGGTGGCGCTCTCCCTTGGGGAAGCCTCTGCCACCCACAAGAAAAACCTGCTCACAGAGGCCCTCTGAGATGGCCTTGGTGGGGTTCTCTCCAGCGGGCTGGTGTGAGCAGCAATAAAACTGCCCACACCTACCCTGAGCGGGCTGGCGGGGACCCAAGGAGAAAGCCAAGAGGGAAGCCAGGCTGGCGACAGAGCTGGGATTTGAGTCCGGGTCCAGCCCTCCCCTGGGCCTGGCGTGTGACCACCGTACCCAGGGAACGGCCAGGCCAGAGCTGGCCTGGGCCAACTGGCTTCGTCCACAGGCAGTTGGCTCTGGTGTCTGCAGACGGGCCCAGAGGAGGAAACAAGTGTGTTCCTGAGGGAGGCCCTGCCAGGGCCTGACACACTCCTTGTGCTTGCAGCCGTGTGCTAGAAGCTTCTCTTCCAGACACCTTTACCTGCTCAGCCCTCCAGCCAGGATGCTAAGATGACCCCGAGCTGGCCCATCCCCAGGCCTCCTCCCCAGCATGAAAAGCTGACTGTTGCCATGGAAACACAAGGGCCTTTGGGGCCTCTCCTCAGCAACCAGCACTTTGAACATCCTGTGAACTCTCAGGGGTGCTTCAGGGGGATCGTGGCTGTCTGGTTTTATGTGCAAAATAGGTTAACCCCTTAAACCACACACTCTCCTGCTCTCAGTAGC